CAATATAGTGTAGACTTTTGCCAGAGTTTAGTGGCTGTTAAAAGTTCCTCTCCTGAACACGATTTTTCTGCGTTCAGGAAAGGAACATTTCGGCCAAAAAAACTGTACATCTAAATAATATTTGCATTTAGAGCTTCTGCATTTATTTTATTCATGTTATTTGAAAATACTGTGGCCAATCAAATGAATAAACATCCAAACGCTAAACACAGTACTGCTTTTACACAAGTTTTCCCGCGTTTAGCGTTTTTCTGCTGCCAGGAGAGATAAACATCTAGGGGAGTTCATGTGTACATGAGGCCGAATATGATGTAATTAGTCCGCCATAGGAAGGAAGACGCATTTCCTCCAGTGATTAAATTGCAACATTGTAAATTTGCAGCAAGTCACAAGAAATTATACAGCAGCTAAGGCTGCATTCCCACCTGAGCATAGCAGAAATGCAGGTGGAAACTCGTGTTTTTGAAAACGTGAAAAATGCACTTAAACATTCAACGCTCTTACAGTGCCATTATTTCCAATGGCACCCCAAATGCAGGTAGCAGTCCCAAAATGCACAAAAAAGTGCAAAAAAAGGTACATAAGCTCCTTTGGTACGTTTTTTGCATGTAGGGGATGTCATCTCTGACCTAGCATCTCAGTCTAGGAAGTAGATCAGTGGTTCTCAACCTGTGGGTCGCGACCCCTTTGGGGGTCGAACGACCCTTTCACAGGGGTCGCCTAAGACAATCGGAAAACACATATTTCCGATGTGTAAAGAGCAGCTACTGTGTAGAAAGCAGCTACTGTGTTGAAAGCAGCTACTGTGTTAAAAGCAGCTACTGTGTTGAAAGCAGCTACTGTGTTGAAAGCAGCAGTATTGGAGGTAAAACGACACTTCATGAATTATAATTACTGGGTAAATAATTTTATGGTTGGGGGTCACCACAACATGAGGAACTGTATTAAAGGGTCACGGCATTAGGAAGGTTGAGAACCACTGAAGTAGATGCTTTCCCTGACTGATTCCTGAGCAAACTTGGTGCCTTCCTTTTGGAGAGAAAATAGGATGAAGACATTGTCATGTTGAGTTCAGTGAGAGAGAATATGCATTAAACCTAGGTCCTGTTAACTGGCTGGCGATTTGGGATCGTGGGTGAAATCATCACAATCCCATCCGCAATTCCAAATCCCACTGCAGTCCTGGCAAAACACACCACACGTGTTTGTGTGCCATTCATTTTTAATGGAACCTCAATCGCGTTGAAACACATCATGCAAAACTCGTCGCCCAAAAGAAGCTCTTGCTCCTTTTTGGGTGGCAACCTACACGCAATGCAGTTTGCCACGATAGCTGCACAATTCTGTTACGCAACATTCACGGCAAAACCACACTGTGTTTGAGGTGCCATTAAAAATGAATGACACACAATGGTGCGTTTGCCAGGATTGCAGTGGGATTTGGAGCAGAATCGTGGTGATCCCAAATCGCCAGGTCTGGACGTGATCTTAATTAATGCAAGAATTGTCCCTAATGCTAGCATCAGTTTAACCTCCCTGGCGGTATTCCCGAGTGTAGCTCAGGGTAAAGTTTCAGTACCAAAAGCGGTAACCCCCGAGCTACACCATGCTTACCATGCAGCGCTGCTCCGGGATCCCTCGATCACTTACCTTGTCCTGCGCTCCCGCGATGTCCCTCCTGCAACGTACTCCGGCGGATGCTGGCATCTGTCATCTGGATTCCGTCCCCTGCGAGCATCGGGACGTACGGGGGACAGAACTGGCGGGAAATTTGAAAATGACAAAAAGTGACATTCACTGAATACACTAAAATCACATAGTATAACATTCCTGTATCAAACCATTTCACATACATATTGTCCCGAGTGCTTTGTCCGGCGCCCTGCCTGCATTTTTACTGTTCTTTCTGCCTGAAAACTGAGAAATGTCCATGGCGTCCAAAAAGCGTCCCTTTAGGTCAAAAGCGGTTTTAGACCAGCTAGAGAACAGCGATAGTAAATCAGAACCACTTGCAGAATTGAGTGATAATGATTCGTGGGGGAAATTCCTCATCAGACACTGAAAACGATTCTGCAACTTTGCTCAGTGATGTGCGAACTTGGCGCTATATTTCAGATTTCAGTGTTTTTGGTTTGATTATATTATTGAATTAATTTTATTATTATATATATTATTATTTTTTATGATTATTTATTACCATATTTGCCGGCGTATAAGACGACTTTTTTACCCCTTAAAAATCTTCTCAAAAGTCGGGGGTCGTCTTATACGCCGGTATAACATGACATGACACTTTTTAGGGGGGGGGCGGCGCGGTTATTCCCCCCCCCCCTTCCCCTAACGGAAGGGACACTAATTTACAGGGGTGGGCAGGGGCTATTTCTTACCTGGTTCCGGTCCCACGACGATCCGGTCCAGGAAGCGCGGCTGCGCCTTCAGTTCGGCCACTGGATGTTCGCGCGGCTGCTCGGCTCCGCCTCCTCACCAGCGATTGGCCGCCAGAACTGTAGCTCAGGAAAGGCACGCAGGCGGCCAATCACCGGCGAGAGGGTGGAGCCGAGTGGCCGCGCGAAAATCGAGTGCAGGACCAGCAGGTAAGTGGTCAGTGTAGAGGTGCTGCTGCAACCACATATGCTGGCTGCAGCAGCACCATACGAGAACAGAGTCAGCAAGTGTCAGTGGGAGGAATAGTGCCCCATCATTGGTGTCACTGATACCAATGATGGGGCACTATTCCTCCCACTGATACCAATGATGGGGCACTATTCCTCCCTCTGATACCTATGATGGGGCACTATTCCTCCCACTGACACCAACGATGGGGCACTATTCCTCCCCCCCACTGACACCAATGATGGGGCACTATTCCCCCCCCCCACTGACACCAACGATGGGGCACTATTCCACCCCCCACTGACACCAATGATGGGGCACTATTCCACCCCCACTGACACCAATGATGGGGCATTATTCCTCCCCCCCATTGACACCAACGATGGGGCACTATTCCCCCCCCCCACTGACACCAACGATGGGGCACTATTCCACCCCCCACTGACACCAACGATGGGGCACTATTCACCCCCACTGACACCAATGATGGGGCACTATTCCACCCCCCACTGACACCAACGATGGGGCACTATTCCACCCCCCACTGACACCAATGATGGGACACCATTCCTCCCACTGACACCAATGTTGGGACACTATTCCTCCTACTGACACCAATGATGGGGCACTATTCCCCCCACTGATACTAATGATGGGACACTATTCCCCCCACTGATACCAATGATGGGGCACTATTCCCCCCACTGATACCAATGATGGGGCACTATTCCTGCCACTGATACTAATGATGGGGCACTATTCCTCCCATTGATACCAATGATGGGGCACTATTCCTCCCACTGACACCGATGATGGGGCACTATTCCTCCCACTGGTGTGCATTGGAAGAGGGGTAGTCTTATTACGGCGAGTATAGCCCAAACACTACATTTTAGCAGGAAAAGTAGGGGGGTCGTCTTATACGCCCAGTCGTCTTATACGCCGGCAAATACGGTAAATTATAATTTATGGTTTCGTATTTCAAATTTTATCATACCCGGGATGTTTACTAGACTCTTGTTCGGACAGATTTCAGTGAGTTATTCCTAAAAATTACAGCCTACAATAAAACAAATACATATTTCCATGCAAAAAAATTGACCTCTTTGAGCACAGAAATATGGACATAATCAGACCGCTAGGGAGGTTAAAGTGGAGGAAAACTCTAACTCTAACTATTCTTAAAAATGGTCCCTGCCCCCTCTCCTACCTATGCTGCCTAACCTGTATAAGAAAGATCTGTTTACTTACCTATTTTCAGACCGCTCCGGTCCGGTCATGTGATCCTACAGCTCCGTCTCCCCTGCACCAGGGAGAGCTCAACAACGGCTGTGAATTCCAGGAGCCATGATGTCACCCATAGGCTCCCATGGTTAAGCCGTCGACGCTCCCTCCTCTCCCCTGCAGCAGCTGCTGTCGCAGGGAAGCCAGAGCTGCAGGATCATGTGACCAGACTGGAGCAAATTAAAATTAGATAAGTACACAGATCTTTTTTATACAGGTTAGAAAGGATAGGTATGAGGAGGGGGAGGGAGACTTTTAGGTATAGTTAGGCTTTTCTTTCACTTTAATGTTCTCAAAACTGGAGCTGACTCGTGCTTTAAAGGCTTTATAAAAGCCACTCAAAGCTTGCTTTGTAAAAGCTTGCTGTACACAACGCTCTTATAAAAGCTGAAGCCCGTGTGTACAAGGCCATCGCACATTTCACTGCCTCTGACATATGTTCATGGCCCTCTGGACACTGTTCTAGATAGGGGTTATTAGAAAGGAGTGTTTTATCTCATGACTGTTTCTCAGCGCAGGTTTTGCAGTTGTAGCCTGTCCCAGAACACGCTGTACAACCTCCTGTCTTCCTGGCTGTCTGATTTATATGTAGAAAAATAAATGACTATTTACTCAGTGCTATTGGCGAGGCTGGGAGAAGTCGCCTGCATTGCTGTGTAAACCAGCTCATGTCTGCAGCTGGTGTTTGCAGATAAAGATGAGGCTGTCACCTCAGTGAAGTCAGCCTGGGCGCACAGCAACCTGATCTCCGCAGAATGACAGTAATGCCAGGCACTTTCAAAGAATTTCAAATGGTGGAATTTTTATTGTCATAGAAAGATCTGTTTCATGGGAACAAAGTCCAAGTTAAAGCTGAACTCCGGGGAAATTTAAAACTACTCCAAAGCTGGCCATAGCGGAAGGCTGAATTAAAAAATGTCTAACAGATTCCTATACCACGTTCCTACACAGTGCGGAATGACAAATCTGCAGTGTTGGCTAATGTTTTCTGATGGCCACAGAATATTCAAGCAGTGCCTACATCTGATTGGATACAGATACTGTTCAGCTGCCAGGCTCCTGTGATTCAGTAGAAGGATATTGGTTGGGAGAGTGCCAACAGGGCCACCTATGAAGCTCAGTGTATGGCCAGCTCTACAGTGGGGCTCTCCATCACTGCAAGGGTTAAAGTGTTACTAAACACAGGACCCTGCACTCACTATATCTGGTCTCCCCGGACCCTGCACTCACTATATCTGGTCTCCCCGGACCCTGCATTTACTATATCTGGTCTCCCCCCGGACCCTGCATTCACTATATCTGGTCTCCCCGGACCCTGCATTTACTATATCTGGTCCCCCGGACCCTGCATTCACTATATCTGGTCTCCCCCGGACCCCGCATTCACTATATCTGGTCTCCCAGGACCCTACATTAACTATATCTGGTCTCCCCGGACCCAGCATTCACTATATCTGGTCTCCCCGGACCCCGCATTCACTATATCTGGTCTCCCAGGACCCTACATTAACTATATCTGGTCTCCCCGGACCCTGCATTCACTATATCTGGTCTCCCCGGACCCTGCATTCACTATATCTGGTCTCCCCGGACCCTGCATTCACTATATCCGGTCTCCCCTGGACCCTGCATTCACTATATCTGGTCTCCCCGGACCCCGCATTCACTATATCTGGTCTCCCTGGACCCTGCATTCACCATATCTGTCTCCCAGGACCCCGCATTCACTATATCTGGTCTCCCCGGACCCTGCATTCACTATATCTGGTTCTCCCCGGACCCTGCATTCACTATATCTGGTTTCCCCGGACCCTGTATTCACTGGATCTGGTCTCCCCGGACCCTGCATTCACTATATCTGGTCTTCCACTGTACACAGAACATGGAAATGCAATTATTTTAGTAAATATAAACTGCTAAATACCTTTTCTCATCAGCAGTTAGAGCAGTCTTGTGACTTCAGAAGAGCACTGGTTAAAGCTTGTAGGAGGAGTTTTCTTTCTGCTCTGGGAGGATGCAGAACCCCTGACCTCTGTCTGGACAGTGCTGATTGGCCTTGTGCTGATCACATGCACTCTCCCAAGACAAAAAAAAAAACCCTCTCTAGCAATACAAACCAAACTGAGCATGTGCATGTGACTACGGATTCAGTCTGTATCAGGTGGTCATTTCAACAAGAGGAGGGGCAGAGAAGAATGGATCAAACAACCTTTTTACACAGTGCAGAGGATTAACCCCTTAGGTTCCACAGTGAGTATAACAAGCATGCTTTACTGCATATACAGACTGATTGTACTGTTGTGGGTTTAGTAACACTTTAAATGTTCATTTTTCTCTAGGGGAACATCAAAAAAAATTTTTTTACTTTCCTTAGGGCCTGTACTCATTTTGGATTGTGGCAATGAGCACTAAAATGCAAGAGTTACCGCATGCTGCCACAACCGATGGCAGCACAACTGCTCTGTGCGATAGTGAATGGCACCCTGAACAGTGTACAGGAGAGCACAATGCACAGCAACACCACAGAGCACCACACCGCATGCGTTGTGGTGCAACGTGTTCTAAAATAAAAGAGACATGCACTTTTTTATCCATTGCAGTACGCCATGTTTAAAAAAAAAAGGTTCATGCACTTTTTTTATTTGTTGTAGTGCACTGTTTTTAATAAAAGGTTCATGCACTCTTTTAGCTGTTGTGGTGCATTGTGTTTTTTTTTTTTTTTTTTTTTAAAAGGGTCATGTGCTTTTTTTTTATCAGTTCTGGTGCACTGTGTTTTAAATATAGGTCTTTTTTAATTTTTATCCGTTGTGCATTGGCAGTCAATTCATAATAAATGGGTTGCCTTAACACCAATGGTGTATTTAGGTTTTGTGCTGCCCTAGGCAACACAAACCAACACTACCCCCCTTCCCCCTCCCACGAGAGAGAGCCTGACATTGACCAACAACACCCCTGCCCACCACCTGGGAGAGTCTTCAACTAACCCTCCGCCTCCTGGGCAATAGAGAGAAAGACAATCTTCACAGTTCTGGACATCCCCGTGAACAAGAGTCCAGCTCTATATACACCATCAAGCAGTCCCTCTCGGATCCCACCTGGTTCCCATGGTGTGCGTGTCCCTTCTTTCATCCCTTCTTTTGGGGGGGGGGGATGCTGCCCCCCTGAAAAATGCCGCCCTAGGCAAGTGCCTTGTTTGCCTTGTGGTAAATACACCTCTGCTTAATACACCGCACGTCAACACATTATTATTATTATACAGTATTTATAAAGCACCAATAGTTCGCTCAGCGCTGTACATTACAAAGGGGGACAGAACATGTGACAGAACAATACCAATACAATGCAAAACATGAGGGGATCAAGGGCCCTGCTCTTTCGAGCTTACAATCTAGGAGGGAGGGGATGGTGGCACAGGAGGAGATAGCTGTGGGGGATGGAGTGGTAGGAAGAGTGGAGGAGGTCGGCAAGTTAGCAGGGGGTGGGGTAGGCTTCCCTGAAGAGATGGGTTTTCAGGGTGCGCCTAAAGGAGAGGAGAGTAGGTGATAATCTGATGGGTTGGGGCAGGGAGTTCCAGAGGATGGGCGACACCCTGGAGAAGTCCTGGAGGCGGGCATGGGAGGAGGAGACCAGGGAACTAGAGAGAAGGAGGTCTTGTGAGGAGCGGAGTGTGCGTGCTGGGCGGTACTTGGATATTAGGTCAGTGATGTAGTTCGGGGCAGTATGGTGGACGGCTTTGTACGTCAGTGTTAGGATTTTGAATTTGATCCGTTGCGCAATCGGAAGCCAGTGGAGGGATTGGCAGAGGGGGGGTGGCGGAAACGGAGCGGTTGGTGAGGTGGATGAGTCTGGCAGCCGTATTCAGGATCGACTGAAGCAGGGATAGCTAGCGGCGAGGCAGGCCAGTGAGGAGGGAGTTGCAGTAGTCGAGTCGTGATATGATGAGGGAGTGGATGAGCTGTTTAGTGGTTTCTGGGGTTAGGAACGTGTGGATTTTGGCGATGTTGCGGAGGTGAAGTCTGCACGAGTTTGTTAACGATTGGACTTGGGGCTGGAAGGATAGGTTGGAGTCCAGAATGACACCAAGTACTCTGGCCTGCAGGGCGGGTTTGATGGTGGCGTTGTTGGATGTGATGGAGAAGTCAATGGTGGGTGGTGTCCGGGCTGGGGGGAAGACAAGAAACTCGGTTTTGGAGAGGTTCAATTTAAGGAAGTGGAGCGACATCCAGTCTGATATGTCGCTCAGTAGGTGTGTGATTCGGGCGGAGACCGAGGGGGTGAGGTGGGGGGTTGAGAGATAGACCTATACACATGACCTATTGCTTTGCAGTGGATCACGTTAGCGTGAATGGACCCTCATCCCTGGCCCGCCCTGGAACCAGAGCTTTCTTCTTTTCTCCGATGCTTTAGCTTGTGGACTGGCCCTCAACATCTTCACTTACAATGGAGGACGGCTGCTCCTGCATTTTACCTGATGATGTCAGAGTACGACCGACAGTTGGAGCGCTGAAGGGAAGCTGCTTCGAGGACCGGTTGCAAAGGAGGAAGCCTGTAGGAATTTTTTTTTAATGCTCCTTTAGACAGAACTAACATTTAACCCTTGCAGCGCAAGGGGAGCCCAACTGCATGGGTAGTTTTAAAATTTTCCCTGGAGTTCAGCTTTAAAAGGGACTCCTCTGCTTTGACCCAGAAAACTAAAATCTGGGGACAGATGCAAATACAGGTAAAACAGCTCTAATATTTGGATTTTACTTGAAATTCAGTTTTTTTTTTATTGTTTTGGTTCATTTTATAATGTTATTTCTGAAGTTTCCTTTTATACTGGTGGCACTGGTGTTGTGCCTCACTGAAACTGGCTTCACTATGCTACAAAGACGCCAGACTTTACCGACTTTAAAGAAGACAGGTTTCAGAAAATTAAAAGTCAGCAGCTACAAAAATGGTAGCTGCTGACTTTTAACAAGCAGACACTCACCCAGGGGTGGACTGACAACTCATGGGGCCCCCTGGGCAACAGGGGATCATGGGGCCCCTGTGTGCTTGCCCAAACTCAAAAAAGCCTATGAAAAAGGTACCAGGGGCATCTCATGGGGCCACCTACTGACCCCGGGCCCTCGGGCAGTGCCCGAGTTTCCAAATGGTCAGTCCGCCCCTGCACTCACCTGTCCCAGGATCCAGTGCCGCCTTACCTGGGCCAGTTCTTCGCCGATCTTCGGGTGAAAAGCAGTTGAGGTCTGCTATAGACACAGAAGCCTGCCTGTGACACCATCCTTCCCTTTGGGTTGTGTGGACATGTTTAGCTATCGCATACAATGCAACTCATGCTGACAGTGGACCTCCCCCTACAGCCACACATGCTGGTAACTGCAGATCTCTATTCACCTCCTGGGAACAGATTAATATACATTTCATTTACTGCCATTTTTCCCTGATTGAAGCTCTCCTTTAATTAATTTAGATTCCCTGTCCCTCAAAGAGAACTTCATCCTGTTTATTTGCGATAGATTCCTTTCCACAGCGATCTCGTGTATTTCGTATATTAAACTCCCCCCCCCCCCCGTCCCCGTTTCCATGGAAACTTGGGACGAGTAATTAGACTGCAGTACAAAAATATGTTAATTTTCTAAACCCAGGGCCCAAGAAACGGGAGGAGCGGGGGAAATAAATTAATTAATTCGCTATCCTGAGAAATTAATTAAATTGTCTGAAAGTTTCCTCTGAATGAGGACAGGAAAATATCAGTGCCATATGTGTGCACGCAAAACTTTTAAAAGGATAATTCAATAAAGGATGGCTATCAAAATTTCCTGACTGTCCAGCTTCTACTGATGGTTTTTGATTGGAAGTCGGTGGGGCTGGCTCCCAATCATGTGACTGCTGTGACAGCCAAATCAATTATCACATCATCAAGAACTCCACTCTACCTTCTGGTGTTAAGATCCACTCAAAGGGCGACCAGGAGAATAAGGAAAGGGGTTAAGAGAAGATTTAATAATGGAGGAATATATAGGCATATTCACAGATGTGCAGTAGATCATTGGTTTCTCATTGGTCTGTGGGCCATGTCAGATGATTGGTTCTGTCACTTTGGTGACAGCTTGCATCTCATGATGCCCAGTATTTTGCCACAAGCCTACTGTTTAAGGCAGGGGTCTCCAAACTTTCTCAACAAAGGGCCAGTTTACTGTTTTTCAGACCTTAGTGGCACGGGGGCTGGACAGTGCTTCCTCTGTGGTATCAGTGGGAGAAATAGTGGTCCATCTGTAGTGTCAATGGGAGTGTCTCATCACTGGTATCAGTGGGAGGAATAGTGCCCCATTTGGTGTCAGTGGGAGGAATAGTTCCCCATCATTGGTATCAGTGGGAGGAATAGTGCTGACCATCATTGGTATCAGTGGGAGGAATAGTGAACCCCCATCATTGGTGTCAGTGGACACCGGAGGAATAGTTCCCCATCATTGGTATTAGTGGGAGGAATAGTGCCTCATCGTTAGTGTCAGTGAGAGGAACTGGCCGGCCGCGGTGAAGCCCATTCATTGGGATCAGTGGGAGGAATAATGCCCCATTATTGGTATCAGTGGGAGGAATAGTGCCCCATCTCATTGGTATCAGTGGGAGGAATTGGTGTCAGTGCCCCATCATTGGTATCAGTGGGAGGAATAATGCCCCA